GGCCTATTTTTCGGGACGGGGAAGCACCCACCATCACTGATGTCGGACACTGACAAACGCACCTCAGTGGGACGACCTTGCGCCCACGAAGGTCAGTCGTGTTTTATCAGCTCTGGTGCGATCAAATCTGGCCTTAATGACATGAGTCACTAATCAAACCGAGCTGGACTGTCTGCCAAACAATGGCGTCATGTGCACCGACCAGCCGAGGCGATCCAAATAACTACACGATGTGCAGTGACGGACGGAGAGGCGCAGCGTAAAACATCAGCCGGTGTCTCGACTCCGTTGATCGCAGAATTACATTGAAAGTTGGTTACGGAGCGAGCGAAGCGAGCGGAGTCTTTCCTTAGATTAACGGAAATTTCTGAGTATGAGCGGCCGGCCGGCCGGCCGGCCGGCCGGCCGTGGGGACGCTCTTCAAAAGCTAATATCTTAGGAACGGGACATCCGATTGACAAGCGGTCTTCTTTACTGAATGTCACTTGGACGTAAAAGTTCTGTGGTGTGATGGCCACCATGCGTTCTTGCCAACCACCGCACGTGGCGCGTGGTAAAGTTGGACATTTTTTAAGAACCCCCAAAATTGCAACCTTAATAACGGCACAACGGCTGGGCCGATTGAATTGAAACTCGGTACACAGCTAGGTCTCCATCAGATAATTCATCTGCATGTGTTAAGGTTGGGGTGCTGCTGCACGTGCGCACGTGCAGGGGTCGTTTCCAGATCTCGAGAACGGCTGGACCGATGGCGCTCAAATTTGGTACACGGTTAGGGACCAGTTAGTAGGGTGCCGTGCACAAGTCAGTTGGGACCCATTTTGCACGTGCGCACGTGCAGGGTGCCGCTTCCAGATCTCGAGAACGGCTGGGCCGATTGTGCTCAAATTTGGCACATCGCTAGAGACCGGTTAGTAGGGTGCCGTGCACAAGTCAGTTGGAGGTACCCCCTCGAAATTTCGCACGTGCAAGGCCCACCCTCTCGCTCGCTCCGTTAGTCGCCCCATAAGGCGTTATACTGGTGTAATTATTCCCAGCAACCATTATTACGGAGCGAGCGAAACGAGCGGAGTCTCATACTGAATTAAGGGAAAATCCTGAGTATGAGCGGCCGGCCGGCCGGCCGGCCGTGGGGACGCTCTTCAAATGCTAATATCTTAGGAACGGGACATCCGATTGACAAGCGGTCTTCTTTACTGAATGTCACTTGGACGTAAAAGTTCTGTGGTGTGATGGCCACCATGCGTTCTTGCCAACCACCGCACGTGGCGCGTGGTAAAGTTGGACATTTTTTTAAGAACCCCCAAAATTGCAACCTCAATAACGGCACAACGGTTGGGCCGATTGAATTGCAACTCGGTACACAGTTAGGTCTCCATCAGATAATTCATCTGCATGTGTTACGGTTGGGGTGCTACAGCACGTGCGCACGTGCAGGGGGCGCTCCCAGATCTCGAGAACGGCTGGGCCGATTGCGCTCAAAGTTGGTACACGGTTGGGGACCAGTTAGTAGGGTGCCGTGCAAAAGTCAGTTTGGACCCCGCTTGCACGTGCGCACGTGCAGTGTGCCGCTTCCAGATCTCGAGAACGGCTTGGCCGATTGCGCTGAAATTTGGCACATCGCTAAAGACCGGTTAGTAGGGTGCAGTGCACAAGTTAGTTGGAGGTACCCCCTCGCAATTTCGCACGTGCAAGGCCCATCCTCTCGCTCGCTCCGTTGGTCGCCCAAAAGGCGTTTTACTGGTTATTACGGAGCGAGCGAAGCGAGCGGAGTCTTACGTAGAATAATGGAAATTTCTGAGTATGAGCGGCCGGCCGGCCGGCCGGCCGGCCGTGGTCACGATTCTGCGACGCTTATATCTCAGCAACCACTTGACTGATTTACATGCGGTAATTTTTGTAGGGTAGCTTCATTCCTTCTACCAAGTATTGGGCTATTCCCGATGCATGTGGGTGACTTTTTATGCACGTGCCACGTGCAAAACGAAGAGGTGTCACTTTTGCAATTGTTGCAATATCTCGGTAACTACTTGGCCGATTGCGCTGAAAGTTGGCATGTAGGTAGGCACCCACTAGGCAATGCATATCCATGTGCCAGAGTTGGGGTGCTGCTGCACGTGCGCACGTGCAGGGGTCGATTCCAGATCTCGAGAACGGCTGGACCGATTGCGCTCAAATTTGGCACACGGTTACGGAGCAGTTAGTAGGGTGCCGTGCACAAGTCAGTTGGGACCCATTTTGCACGTGCGCACGTGCAGGGTGCCGCTTCCAGATCTCGAGAACGGCTGGGCCGATTGTGCTCAAATTTGGCACATCGCTAGAGACCGGTTAGTAGGGTGCAGTGCACAAGTTAGTTGGAGGTACCCCCTCGCAATTTCGCACGTGCAAGGCCCATCCTCTCGCTCGCTCCGTTGGTCGCCCAAAAGGCGTTTTACTGGTTATTACGGAGCGAGCGAAGCGAGCGGAGTCTTCGTAGAATAACGGAAATTTCTGAGTATGAGCGGCCGGCCGGCCGGCCGGCCGGCCGTGGTCACGATTCTGCGACGCTTATATCTCAGCAACCACTTGACCGATTTACATGCGGTAATTTTTGTAGGGTAGCTTCATTCCTTCTACCAAGTATTGGGCTATTCCCGATGCATGTGGGTGACTTTTTATGCACGTGCCACGTGCAAAACGAAGAGGTGTCACTTTTGCAATTGTTGCAATATCTCGGTAACTACTTGGCCGATTGCGCTGAACGTTGGCATGTAGGTAGGCACCCACTAGGCAATGCATATCCATGTGCCAGAGTTGGGGTGGGTCGATTCCAGATCTCGAGAACGGCTGGACCGATTGCGCTCAAATTTGGCACACGGTTACGGAGCAGTTAGTAGGGTGCCGTGCACAAGTCAGTTGGGACCCATTTTGCACGTGCGCACGTGCAGGGTGCCGCTTCCAGATCTCGAGAACGGCTGGGCCGATTGTGCTCAAATTTGGCACATCGCTAGAGACCGGTTAGTAGGGCGCCGTGCACAAGTCAGCTGGAGGTACCCCCTCGAAATTTCGCACGTGCAAGGCTCACCCTCTCGCTCGCTCCGTTAGTCGCCCTTAAAGGCGTTATACTGGTTTCGGTAGGTATTTATTCATTATGTCCGAACTAAACCTGACCTAGATGAAGTATTTGAGTTTAATTGAGTCTAAACTTTTAAACGTATATTTAATGCAAACAACTTAATACCAACAACAGGTTACAATAAATAAGTTTTTTTCAGCCCTTATGTAGAATGCGATCTCCGAAGCCCAGCTTTCTTTCCGAAGGTCATCTATATTCTCCAGCGTTGGTCGATAGCGGAGAGGGGAGGACAGGACAGGGGTGCACAAGCCCGACAGCCGCCTCCCTCCCCTCCCCTCCCAGTCTAGTCTGGCGAGGGGAGGAGGGTGGACTACGACCGAGGGGAGGGGTTCAGGACGAAGGGGAGCTGGGAGGGGACACAGGGGACGTACCAGAGGGGGAGGGAGGAGAGGGTGATTGCATCCCCCCCCCCCCCCATCGTCGTCATCGTTGCGTCGGCTCTAGTCCGCATGGAATGGCGAAAGGAGGGTCGAGCGAGAGAAAAAGGAGAGTGAGATGGGAGAGAAGAGAGAAGAGAGAAAGAGAGAGAGAGAGAGAGAGAGAGAGAGAGAGAGAGAGAGAGAGAGAGAGAGAGAGAGAGAGAGAGAGAGAGAGAGAGAGAGAGAGAGAGAGAGAGAGAGAGAGAGAGAGAGAGAGAGAGAGAGAGAGAGAGAGAGAGAGAGAGAGAGAGAGAGAGAGAGAGAGAGAGAAGGAGGGGAGGGGCTGGGGCGCCGGGTATTAATAAGGTCGCCGGACTGGGGAGGCTCTCCCCTCTCCTCTCCCTTCCCTTCACCACCCCACCATGTGAGTGGCAGGGCGGGAGGGGAGGGAGGGTGAGGTCATGGCAAACAGTGAACGCGGGCCATTTTGAAGACAATTTGATGCGAATTCAGGAGTTTATTGCGCGTTTCTCGATAAGATTGTCTATAGCCAACTACTTTTCTTCCTTCATTCCGGTTCATTATATACGTCTACCTACGCTTCCCAACTTGAGATGCGATTGCAATGGGAACTGAAAGAGCTAACTGTGCAATTGCCCTTGTCATTGCCCTTTACTCTAACCACAAGTCCCGATAGCGTGCAAGCTTCTAAGAGCGTTCAGCAAACAACGGATAACATGCCGTGTGCTCGGAACCTCACATTGTAGATAAAACATTTGCAAACTTCTCGATGTAAATTAATCAGCTACTGTGGTCGAGACTATTCCGTCATCTATCATCAAAATGACGTGTCTGTTGATCATATCAACTAAATCACGAACGTTTCGACTGCCGCATAGGATTTTCCGAGTGTCATCATCTGCGAACCATCACCAGAGGTGATATGTCTCGATCACCGTACGCGACAGGGATTGCACTCTGCTATTATGAAGAGACTGGCTGGGATTTTCATTAGCGACCACTGCCGCGTGCCAACTTGTAGTACTCGTTGTCGAAGATGACACGATTTACAGCATGTAAGATGTTATTAGTTTGGTCATTTGAAGGCCATAGTCGTCACGGTCGTAACAAACAATAGAATGGGGCGCTGCGTTCTTGGGACTTGGGAGTAATAGGGGCCATTTATATCGTTTCAAATGGCGCGCCGTCACTCGGATAGCTACAGGAGAATGCTGAAGGGACGGTTTAGTGAAGGGGTGCTCAGCTGGTTAACTGTCCCCGGCTAATGGATAGACGCGCCGCGCCTCGGTGAATCCGGGAGTCGGCGTGCTTTTTAGTCGTTCTCTGCTCCAGATAGCAACAGTTGGCCAGGGTCCTCGAACTTTTACATATCTGTAAGTTAGCCCTCGATCAGATACGGCTTCTGTTGCGACTTTAGATCCGCGTCAGACTCCCAGCGGTGACATGGGTGTTTGGGCGGGGGGGGGGGAGGAGGGGTCACACGGCTGACCGCCGAGGTCACTGACCTTGTGCCGGAGGCGCTCACGTGGTGTGCAGCTCGGCGCCCGCTGGCGCCCACTCTTCCGTCCCACGTCCTGCGAGTGTCTGAGGCAGCAGCGGCCCCGGCACCACGAGCACCTCTCCCAGCGGCCATCGATCTGGCCAGCACGGCTCCCCGTGCCGCGCCGGACCCCTGCCGCCGTCCCCTCCCCTCCTCCCCCCGCCCGCCTCCCCTCCGCCTCGCCCCCTCCCGAGGCCCGTTTCACGGCCCACCCGTACAGTCTCGCGGCGGCCGACCGCCAAGGCCAGCCGCGAGACTGTACTCCGTCGGTGGGGAGGGAGGCAGGGGGAGACCCGCCCCTACTCTCGGTTCCCCAGAGGACGGCCGTCCGTCCCAGACGGACCTTTGTGCGTCGTTCGACGGACGACGCTCCAGATGGAGAGAGGACATGGGGTGGCCAGGTGCCGGTCGGCCCCCTCCCCGCTCCCTCCCGCACCCGCCCGACCCCACCGGCGGCGCGTCCCCAAGGCTGCTGCTGTCGGGAGGCTGCGCTGGGAGGGGATTCTGCCGTTGTCACCTCGGCCGTGGCGAGCTCCGACCGGCACTGGTCGCCTCTGCCCCCAGTTCAGGACCGAGCCGCCCTCGAATCGGCGGCAGGCTGCTTAGCGTGGGTACGCTGCCCGCAAAAGACAATCATACCAATGGAGATAAAATCGATGTTCGAGGGCTATTATATGCGTGTTGACAATCTTCACAGCTCAGTTAGGTACTCGGAATGTCTGTTGCACCAGACGTTTATGTTTCCAAATCAAACGGAAACATTGCGGCGAATTTTTCAATTTATGTCTATCTTAATATTTGCCTTCGTTTGAGGCATCGACGTCAATAGGATGACCTAAAATGTTGAAAACTGTCAAACGTAATGGTCGTCGCTGGCATCCGCCACTTTGGAACACGTGTTTTGCGTTTACGTGTGTCACTTCAACTTGGCTGATGTGTCCCGGTCATTTTGCGCCCACGTGCTTTGAGCACGAAGACTGAGGCGGTCCGAAGTGGCCGAGTCTAACGCCTCATTCTCGCTGTCGATGGGCGCAAAATGACCCCAGCAGTCGGCGCGCCCTAAAGCTCCAATAAACTAACAAGCTGTCGGAATGCGATGCAGCCCCGTTCCATGGCGAGTGGCGGTTCTGCGACACCCCAGCGAGCCTCATTTGAGCGAACGACGTTTGAGCGACACATTTTCAGCGATTGCCAATTAACCCTATTAGTGGCAGGCTCCTGGCTACCCCATATTAGTGGCAGGGGGGGGGGGCTGTTTACGACCCCCCCTTGATATCTCGAGATCTAACCGGCCGATTTTCAAAATTCAAACGGCATTCGATTTGGCTCAACGAGATCTACATTTCTAAAAAAATAAAATTAAAAAATGTCAATAGGGGGGTAGAGGGGGGTAAAAACGGGCAAATTGCAGATACATTTTAGACTGTTTATCACGGCCAGGTTTCTGAACCAATCTTAACGCAACTTTTGCCGATCGATAGAGAATGAACCAGGAATTCACATGGATCCTAAAAATATGCATTTTCAAAAATCATAGGCGGATACAGATCATTGAGATTGGGGGTACACAAATAGTATAGTAAATAATGTTTTTGTTGGTACTGTTTCTAAAAAGAATGGCAATGGTCTTGTTATGTTACAATTTTCTTATGAGAGAACGACTAAAATTGTATTGGTCATGCATAGGCGGTGTCAGGGCACCTATGTTGGGAGGTAAAAAATAACCCCCCCCCCCCTTTTTGGACGCCTGGATCCGCCTATTATAGCAAAAACGTGTCAAAAGAGGATGCACAATAACTTTGTATATGTTATCACATGATACCTTTCATTCACTGTTCGTAAAACTGGTGCAGCATCGTGATCTTCGCCCAAATGACTCGCTTCACGAATAGGACCCCCAATTCCCAGTGCTCTGGAGCCGCCCCTGGTAGAGTTATGAACTTGAAATTTTCAGGGAATGTGTCCAATTTAGTTTTAGGAAAAGTCAGAAAATTTCAGCATCGTAGCTTCAGCGGTTTCGGGAGATATTCCCGAAAAACCTGAGGGGTGGATAAAAACAACCCCCCCCCCTGCCACTAATAGGGTTAAAGTGACCGAGTCTTTTGAGCCAGTGACAATTCGGTTACATCGATTATCAACTATAGCGAGCACAAGAATCAGCGAAACCAATTTGAGCGAATATACTGTGGTCAATGAAGTACCATTTGATCAAATGCAGATACTATAGCAAAACCAAGCTGAACAAAAATCATTTAATGATGCTTCCCGGATTTTTTTCCTCGTGAAATGTGTCTAATAAATAAATATCAGCGTCCTGGGAAGTAGGTCCTTCGGTCATATCTATTATCTTGTGGTAAAAAATGCCGGACAGCTTGGTGAATTTATTTCTGAAATTATTTCACCACTTAATAACGCATTATTTGAAGACAAGTGCACCAGGTGGCCAACGAGGGGTGAAGGAGGCTGAACTTGATCTTGCATTGTTGAATGCCAGAAACAGGACAATGAAGAGAATGCCAAGGACATAATAAGCTTAAAGGGTGGCACAGGGAGATTCGGGTAAAGTTCCAGAGACCGCACCCAAGTGTAATTTAGTATTTGGAAATAGGTACGCATATCGTTTGGAGCAAGAGCTGACAAAGCTTACAACTTCCAAACTGATCCAAATCAAGGGAAATTCGGTGTAAATGTCTCAATAATCGTTTGGTTACTGTTTGTTTACCTTAACCCTATTCCTGGCGGGGGGGGGGGGGCTCAGGAGCCCCCCCTGAGGTTTTTTGGTTATTTCTCCCAAACGCGTTGAGCTAGGAAGCTCAAATTTTCTGACTTTTCCTAAAAGGCTTCTACGCAACATGTCTGAAAATTTTGAGTTGATCTGACCTCAGGTCAGGTCACCAGAGGCGGTTTGGTGACCCTACCTCAGAAAAGTTTGCAATCACGCCAGAGCTAGAGTTTTTGACCGATCAATTTCTTCTCTTCAGGGTTTAGTTAGGGTACCAGTATTTGCAATTTGTATATCTCGGAATTTTGATATCGGTGACCTAAGGTCAGGTCAATTTCGCGACCTCCCCATTATAAGTCAATGGGGGAAAAATCAACTCCCTGTTTTTACCACTAAAACGGGTCGGAATGGCCCCATATACCATACATGACTTCATATACGATCAACCTTCACTACCTTGAGGTCTGTTTTGCTGTTGGGCAGCTGTGAGGTCATGTGACGTCATCAAAGGTCACCAAAGGTTTTTGGCCAATAACTCCGTACAGGAACAAGATACAGACGCGTGGATGGTCTCATTGTGTTCAGTTCAGCTCGTCAAGACGCATCGAATGATATACATGATGACCTCGAGGTCACGTGACCTGAGGTCAGCCTTTGACCTTGACCTTTCGAGGTCAACATATATATCATTCGATGCGGATTGACGAGAGGATCACGATGATGCCCTTAGTTTGTTCCTATCTTGACTAATTCGAAAGTTATTCGAGAAAAACTCTCCATATCTAGCGCCGCCATTTTGACTTTTTCGACCCCTGTGACGTCATCTTTGACCTGACCTGAAAATGACCTTTGTAAAAATTGTAGATCTTGGCCGTGCGTATCCGATGCCGTTTACCGCTTGTCGCTATCTTGCTTCGTTCTCGAGATCTCAGGGGGGGGCCGAATCGGCCCCCCCCCCGCCAGTTTCTTGTCCCGGCGGAGCCCGCCAGGAATAGGGTTAAGTGGAGAATTTGAATTATTTGATTTTTTTAAGGAATGTAGTTAGCATCAAATTTGGAGCACAATGACTGATCTTTCAACGAGACATGCAACATACGGTTCCAGTTCATTATGCCTCTATAACTACTTGCAAAATACACCGTGATTAGCCCGCGCCCCACTGAGGGGGGGGGGGCTATTTATAGCCCCCTCCCGTTTTTCTGCAATTATTTAATTCCAAACCGCTTGACGTATCGACGCCAAACTTTCAGTACCTTCGGCTGTATCCATTTGACACCTTATGTCAAAATATGAACTTCGTAGCTATCATAGGTCGGCCGGAAATGACGTTAGAGTGAGGTCATGTTCGGCCGATTTCGACGCATAACATTGAACACAGCAATCGCTTCCAAGAGCTCAGTTTTGAACCCTCGCCCGCACATGGGGAGGGGTTGCCACCCCCCCCCCCCCCCCAGGTAGTTTTTCTGTTCTGCCGTCCACTGAAAATTTCAAGTTTCTGTGGTTTTTGAAACCTCCTGACCTTGAACGGTAGGAGGTTTCAACTTGCACACCATGTATAAAATTGATGAGGGAAAAGTCATGCATTTTTTTGCGCTATTCACGAAAAACCTTGGGGTGGGGGGGGGGGGGGTCGGTGCGCGGTTGAAGCGATATCATGGGTGTCGATTTGTATACCTTTGGGGGTGCTGCAGCACCCCCAATGCTCAAATGAGCACCCCCAATGGTTTTCCGGGCACCCCCGAATGTTCCAGTTAGCACCCCCAATGATTTTGTCCCTCAGTAACTCCCACTAACTCTGCTTGAAGAAAATAATTGGTTCTGCAGTCTTTCACTACTAAAACTAAAACAATTACACAACTTGCAATGCATGAAATAAAGATGTAAAGAAAAGAAAAGTTAGTTTTAAGAAGAAGGGCAAAAAAAAAAAACGGTAAGTTGCAAAGACACTGGTGTGGGTCCGTCGTACACGGATGTCGGACCCTTAGAGCTGCTGGCGCGTACCCTTTACAAGCCGGCAGGGGGCTCCAGAGACCGGCGACGGGCCCTCAGAGGCCGACAAAGGGCCATCAAAGGCCGGTGGTACCTTAAGAAACCCTGTGGGGTCGTCTTTAGAGACCGACACGGACTCAGCGCCGATGGGGCCCTCAGAGTAGCCGGTGTGGGGCCTTCAAATGTCACCGGTGGGTGGCCGTCACATGCGCACTTGGGGGCCTTTAGAAGCTACGATGTTGGGCCCCCAGAGCCGCCGATATAGGGCCTTAAGAGGCACTAGTGTGGGGCCCTCAGATATGGCAATGTGGGGCCCTCGGAGCCGCCGGTGTGGAGGGTTCACAGTCGCCGGTGACGGCCCTCACAGGCGCCGTTGTGGGGGCTCTCAGAGACACTGGTTAAGGGCCATCACAGGCGCGCGTGGGGCCCTCAGAACTGCTGTTACGGAACGGACCCTTCATAGGCCGACAAGAAGATATTAAGAGGTCACCGGTGCCTTCAGAAGCCTTGTGGGGTTCTCAGAGACTGGTATGGTGCGCTCAGACGCCGCTGGGATCCTCCGAGTCACCTGTGTGGGATCGTCAGGGTCGCTGGTAACTGACAAGGGCCCTCAGAACCGCCCATGTAGGGTTTTTAAAGCCATTGGTGTAGGGCCTCAGAGTTAGGGGTGTGTGGCCCTTAGAGACGCCGGTGTGGCGCTCAGGGGCGCCGGTGAGGGCCCTCACAGTCGCCGTTATAGGGGCCCTCAGAGAAATGGGTGTGGGGCCATTACAGGCGGGTGTGCAGCTCCTAGAGCTGGCCCCCTATAGGCCGGTTAGGACCCCCAGAGGCCGGCAAGTGGGCCTCAGAGGCTGGCTTGGGGCCCTTATGGAGATCTTAATGTTGGTACTTGTGGGCCCATGAGGTGTTCTTACGAGCCCTGTGGGGCCCTACTTAGTCCAAATATGGCCAACGTGGACCCTCAGCGGCCAATTGGCGCCGCAGGGCCCCTCAGGCCCGAATAACCCGAGGGGCCCCTGAACCTGATGGGGGGGGGGGGGGGCATGTGCCTCACGGGCCCACCTGGCTACGCCACTGACTGGAAAATCGTAAACCCATAAATATCGAAATGCGATCACCTGTCATTATCAGAGATTATTGTGATCGTCTGATTACCGCCAGAGCTTCGTAGCTACCGTTCCCTCCGCGCAATATCCGCTCCTGCGGACCGCAGGGGCTGCTGCACCGGTGCTAATCGCCGTCATCGGTTACTGTCGCCTTATTACCGAAGTGCCGGGGCTGCAACCAGCTGCCGGCAAATGTACGACTTTTTTCGGAGACATATTTATGTAATAAGGTAGCCAAGTACCTACCAGGACGAGCAGAATGATGCTGAAGAACGTTCAACCTTTGGGAAATATTAGTGGAAATCCCAGGATTATCAGTAGATACCTTATGAGGATACCCAACCATGCCTTGTATGTACGGTTGTCCCCCATGGCAAAGCTGCAATCTTTCACCCGGTGGCAGGGTTGAGCACCCCCAACCATTTTGAAAAATCGACACCCCTGAGCGATATGATATCGTTACGTCAGGTAGCATGGATTTGATACATCAACTTATTTATTCGTTCCCTCACGAAAATGTTGTCGATTCTTCAAAGTCGTCTCAATGCCTTCGCTGTTGCCCGAAAACAAGGTAAACTGTCTCCGCGTGTCTGACTTCTGGCTGTTATCGCCATCTGAAAGAAATCTAAGCTGAGACCGTCGCACATCTGTCTGTGTCGGGGGCGGGGTGTTATGTCACAGTGCGGGCACGTCGGCACTGACAGCGCACGTCTGCGTCTGGAGGGTTCTTACGGGCCACAGGGGAGCCGACGACGCCCGTACTGGTCATCGGGGGTCCTTGCCGACAAACGGGAGCCGATGACACCCCTCGCCAGTCATTGGAGAGGCCAGGGGGATAGGAGTCCTTGGCTCACAAGTGGGAACCGATGTCACCCCTCGCCGGTCATCGGCGGACCCTTGCTGTCCGGCAGTGTTCGCCACGGGCCCCAAAATCCCCAGCCCAGCCCGGCCCGGGCCCATGGGTTCAGAGCCCGGCCCAGCCCGTAGCCCGCTCTTGGCAAATATTCCAAGCCCAGCCCGGCCCGGCCCGTCAAAAATAGCAATCTAGTTATTGTCTTAGTCTATTGCTATAATAAGCATGATTGATTACACTATTTTGAGAACAATTCAAATTGCATGAATATTAACATGGCAATCATGACTCCCTTCTTTTCAATGAATATAATCATTTCAAGCACCTATGGCACAAATTTTAACAGTAACAGCAAGCACCTCAGTCAATTAGGTCATGATTACACACCTATAAAAAGTTTACATGATTATATTAACTACATTCTATGAGTAAAGTTATCTTGCAAGCTGATGTGTGAACATTATCATTCATAATTGGTGACTCTAATGCATACTTGAAGGAAGTATTTGCCACATACTACATACTTCCCAGCACTTACCTACCAGCAGAAAAAAAAGCTTGACTTATGGGAATAATTGATGAATCTGTCTGGGATTGACCTTGCTCTTAAATTCACTCCATAGATGCTGCAATATCAAAAGCCTGAGAAAGCATACAAAATAGCTGACACTAACTTTAGCACTGTCTTCCAAAAAAAGAGAAAATCCATCATTTATCAGCAAAACTGATCTTATCTATTTTCAATTCATGTCCACGTGTCAACCGAATCTCTGTGGACAACTATCTGCTACTTTCCGCTATTTTATGTTAGGCTCTTTTCAAGATATGGATATCGCTAGCAGCGTAAGCAGAAAACATGGTAAGCTTGAAATGTCATTGGGTAATTTTGCGACTTTTACGCATCATCATCAATCGAAAATGAGCGAACACTTCTTGATTGTCGCAGCTGCGGCAGGTAGCGATTTTGACCAATTGTATAATAAAACATATATGATCAAGTTTTTGTTTTGTTTTTCGTTCGAGTTTTCAGACTTCGTGATTTAGGTTTTATTTTTTATTTGTTGAGTTTTGTTTTTCACCTTCATACTTCCTTTAAAAACGTATTTATTTGATATACTGTTGTGTATACTACCTAGATGCCGCCACATAAACATAGCGCCGCCGCCGCCGCCATGATCGCCATGATTGCAAATTTTGTTGAGAAGGGTCTGGTTTTGTTGTGATTTATTTTGACAAAATTATGGACATTTAAAGAAGCTTTCATCGCGAAATACTCTGTAGAGTTCCTTGTTACTTACAGTGTGTTTTGTGAGTATCCTTTTAAGGTTCTGTTCGTTAAAAAGCCGTCGGTGAAGGAAAAAAGACTGTGTTGGAATTGTCTCACTATCGCCATATATAAGTGTTAAACTTAATGTAGCCCTGTAGCCCATCATTGTTGAGTGGCTTCTTAGTTTTTGGAGTTGAAGTGCTAAGTAAGTTATTCCGATGACTACATTTTAACTTTTATTACAAACTAATGATGCTAGAGATTCTCTGATCTTTTTGGTTGCGGAATTTTTATGAAAACCCTCCTATGTGTGACATGATGTGATATTGGATAATTCTCAAGATTCCCAAAATTCAATATCAAGTAGGTTTTCTTTCACATTGCTTAAATTTGGTTTAGTTTTTGTATTTTCCCAGTGGGTTTTGTTTGCATCAGTTTCCAAATTTTCTTAAATTGACATTAATCGCAAAACCCATAGTGCACAAAGCTCTTGGCCCGGCCCGTCCATAGCCCATTAACTAATGATATTTGGGGGCCCGGCCCAGCCCGTAGCCCAGCCCGGCCCATGGCCCGTTGGGCTGGCCCGGCCCGTGGCGAACACTGCTGTCCGGGTTATTGGTGATGACGCCAGCCTCCGCCCACGCGGGCGGAGGTGTACGACGCGGACTTCCGCGTCACAAAACTCGGGAAAATATAAGCCGCCTTGCTTCATACCGTAATAACTCCGGTATGTCCGTGGGCGGTACAAATTTGTAACAGTCAGCGAGTCGTAATGCGGTGCGTGTTTGTAAAGGGTGAATGATCACAATGTCGGAATTGTTGGACATGTCTCTTGTTTCAGTGCATGCACACTCGTATCGATAAACACTATGACACAATAGACTGTGCCATTAGCGTGTGGAGGTGAGCCTTTCGTCCACCAGTGTATCGAGCTCGATCCTAATCTCTGTCACGCCGCTGAAAATCAGCCTGGCCGTACAGGATATGGGTTTTCTCCGTGCGGCCGCCCCCGCACCCAGCTCGCTCGGCTCGACAGAGTGGATTGCAATTATCCATGTATTATGTGTATGCATGTGTAGTTGTGGGGGCGGACGGACACCTGTGCGCGCTCGGACGCTGACCGCTGTACAGTGGCGGTAATGCGGCTGAAAGAGCCGTGCAGTTCAGACAGTTTTGGCTACTGGGGGATGGAAGCACCTTGCCGAATACAGAGCGAGCGCAACGGTCCAAGCCAACTGCGCCGCTCCATCGCTTGTGGGCGTTTTCATTTTCAATTACTCGGTTGAATCTGGGAATGTTTTCTTAAACCTATAGCTCCTGCGTCCTGTTAGGTTTCCAAGGTTAACCACGATGAATGTCTCGTAAAGACGCGACAAAATTTGCCTGCTTAGTGCTTACTGCTTTGATGTTTTTTTTTTCCGCTAAAGCGAATAACGCGTTACAAATAGGGAGCCGAAATGAGGCAGTCCTGATCTTTGATTCAAGCCGGAACTTTTGGCAACAGTGGCATTTTTAGGTCAGCTCAGGTCACAAACCTATGCCATCATGCGTGGGCTTCTCCACCGTCAAAAAATGTCGCAACTTTGGAAAGCTCTCAGTTGCAGGAAAATTTCTATCTCAAGAACTTGTAATTGGGCTTTCACGCTACTTGCAAGGTCGGATGCAGACCTTGGGTGACGTCGATTGTGATGTCGTGATGGAAATAGATATTTTCAGATTTTCATGGACCAACATTCTGACTGCTGGCTTGACGAGTTTGGACCCGACAGTAAATAAGAAACTCGGGTGATCCCTCTGATTTTTTTTTTTAACTTCGGTCAGTATTTATTAGGCACGAACATCTCAAATCATACAACCACTCCGACAGCTTCCAGAGAGTTATATGGACTACGTTAATCAGCTGTTGATTTAGAGCTTTAATTTGTTAGCATTGAATTTAGCTTAAAAACGCATTCCAGCTCCAAACAGGCACGACCAATTCTAAGCATGTCACCTTCGCATGCCCCGCCACTCCAGTGTCCAGTTCCGCCCAGTTGACAGCTCAGTTCCGCTCAGCATGTCGACTCAGTTCCCGATCAGCCGACGCCGCAGCAGCTGGATCTCCATCTCCAGTTTCTCCGTCTCCAGCCTCAAGTTGGCCTGCTGCATGTTGAGCGTCTCACGCTGCAGCTGCTGCAGCCCCTCGGCGGCGCTGAGCGCCCTCTCCAGGCTGTCTGTGAGCGCCTGCACCGCCGACTGGGCCGCTGAGGCCGTCTGCTGGCTGCACGGACAGCTCTGCTCTGACGGTGTGACCGGGCCCGGCGGCGGCACCGTGACCGGGGACCCGCCGTCCTCCGTCGGCACGACCCGGTCCATGCCAGGCGCCGCGCACTCCTCCCCGCCCTGCCGCGACGGGTACGAGCTGCACTCCAGACGCGCTGGCCAACGGAAGCCGAAATTCCTCAGCAGAGGCTCGCAACCGGCGAATACGTCTTCACACAGTTCGCGGCAGGGCTTTGTAGGAGGCACGGACGGGTCGTGACACTCTGGTGCGTACACAAGACACAAGAAGGCTTGAAGGCTGGAGCTACATTTCGCTTTGACCAGAGGGAAGAACTGGTGCACTTCCTGGCCGGCCTCGTCCTGAGTCTCATGACCCAGAATATTGGGCAGGCTTGTTCGGTTGTACCACAAACCGGCATCAGGGTCCTTGCACAATCGTATAGTGATCTGCTCACATTGGTCAGCGGTGACGAAAGCTGACTGCGTCACCATCACCAGAGCAGACACCAGCACCACTGACAGCATGGTGAGTGGCTTCTCACTCGGACCGCTCAAGCACCACCACAGCTGACCTCTGAGATGGCCCTGTCCCTGCCACTGCCCCGCTGAGGTCAGGAGCCGACCCCGCTGCCGCCGCCGACCGGGCCCGCTAGCAGACTGCTGTCGGGGGAGCCTCTTCTGGCGGCTGCTCTCTGCTGGTTTATGCTCCGGGCCCAAACACTGGCCAGATGCCGGCACTGATTTACGGCAATGTCAGTTGTTGTGGTGTAGGTATAACTGCACTGCGGCCGCGCGGCGCACACCTCATGCATAAATAATGAATAGAAAGAACTTAACCCGTATGACCGTCAAGAGTCGACTGTCTATATTCATAGGCATCTATCTATATTGTGTTGTATAGATTGTTCAAACATCGCTTTATTTATTTGTAATGGTAGCTTTCGGAAGACATCCATCTTCCCTCTTCAGCCTGTCCAAAGCACTAAAAATACAATACATGTAAACCTTCAGCAAAGAAAAAGACAATCTTTTTTTGTCTTCTCTTTGCTGAAGGTTTAGGTACATACATGTAGGTATGTAATTTTTAGTGCTTTGGACAGGCTGAAGAAGGAAGCTGGATGTTTTCCGAAAGCTACCATTATACATAAATAAGGCGGTGTTTGAACAGTCTTTACAACACTATATCACTGTCCCAGCTGAATAACGTCAACATAAAACATAGGTAGGTATCTATAGCTTGCAAATACGCTGATTACCCGCGCCTCACTGGGGGGGGGAGGGCTATTCATAGCCCCCACTCCCCAGGCTATTCATGTGCTATCGAACTGCTATCTCGTGTGTTAAAAATTTACAAAATTTTGAAAATTATTATAATAAAATTCAAAATTTATATTTTTTATTATTTTTTTTCCAAATTCTTTTGACTTTTCGAGAAAAAAAAACTAGAATACCTATATGTGATAGAACACATGGTTATGACTTACTCTAGCAAGTTTTAGCTAAATATCTTCAAAAATGAAGTTATACGCATTATTGCAAAAAAATTCACAATTATAAATTTTCCAAATCAATTTTTCAGTACGTTTTTGACATCGTACACCAATATAAATAGCAACATCGTGTTCCTGAGCTTAAACTGCATCCGATAGATATGTTCTTTGATGAAAATTTCAACTTTGAAATTTGACCTTTTTTGACCTGAAAGTGACCTGACCTCAGCTATATTCAGATGAAAATGGCCTCAAATGACACAGGCGACACCGAATTCGAAATATGTGGCGTAATTGGACCATTTAGCATGTGTCACGTGACCGACTTATGACATAAGATTTCCGTAACCTATGATGACCTGACCCTGACCTGAAAATAAAAGTACAAGTTTGGCACCCTCAGGGTATCTAAAGCATCTGTTCACGAGTGTGTAAACCCAAAATCAGCCTGATCTGACTTGTAAGGCGGCAGCCAGAGCCCAAAAAGTGAACAAGCCAAATATCGATAATTTTTACTTTGACCTGACCTGTGGCGTCATCGGTGACCTCGAGGTCAATGAAATTAGGTTTCGTTCGACAGTTTTTCCGGGGCTATCAGATGCCCTTTGAATTTTGACGATCAGCCTAGTAGTTTCGGAGTTAGGAGGGGGCTATGAATAGCCCCCCCCCCCCCGCAGTGGGGCGTGTTATACACAGACCCCAGTGGGGCGCGGGTTAATATCTTCATTTGTATTTTTGATTAATTTTCTAGGTGGGTAGACGTCAATTTCTAGCAGTCTAACTTCTGAAGATAAGACTAAGGAAATTTGTTTGTTTTGTTTTGTTGGGTTAGGCCCTTTCGGTCTGACAAGACCATTTCAGAGCTGGAAGGATGATGGGAATTAGGGGGAGACATTGATCTGGGCAGACACCCTAGAGAGTCGCCGGGGCTGAGCCCGTCCGAATGGACAGGCCGACCAGCCCCAAGTAGGTACCTACTCTCTGCACCCGGCTACGGGGTGCGCTCCCTCGGGAGCAGCGGTGCCGCTCCAAGGGAGCAGCCCGCATGAGATAAAGGTGCCTGTCCAGTCCGGAGGGGGGTTGCGGCGTAGAGGAGAAGGATTTATGTATCCTGAGGATAGAAGCACGGAACGGTGGAAAAAGGAAATGGCATGCTTGTATATTTAATGTCGATGGCTGACGTCTTGGGACAACTTTGGTTGCAAAGTGCATTTGTTTGACGCAGTCAAGCAATGCTTTCCAGATCCAATTTGTCAATAAAAAAATCGTACTTGCTAATATATCCAATATCTATCATCCATTTTTACGTTTGCACTTTGCAGCTCCACCGCTGATCCGATTACCCGATTATCGTGTGATATCCGATTACCTGTCCTGTGGCAGTTCAACGCTCGGGGTGCAGCCCGCGCGCCACCTACAGCAAACTTTGGGCCATCAGTTGAGGCAGAGCTCTATAGATGTCAGCGGTGTCGCCGACCTCCCCTTGTTCGGGGATGAGTGCACCGAGCCTGCGGGAACGGGGAGATGCTGCGTTTGGCGCCGAGCAGTGAGCACGCATCACCAAACTGGACCTACTGGAACGGCTGGTGAGCGGCGGGGAAGGGGGGGGGGGGTTGGGAAGCGGGCCGTACGGGCCTGGGTCAGCACAATCGTCCACTATATGTAGTGGGCTGTGTTGTAGCAACGTGAAAGACGCGTCGGCGAGTGTGATGCCTAGCTCCCATCGGCAATTCCAGGTAATGCCTATTTCTAGTGCTTATTCTATGGCCGATGACGGATGTGACGCCATCGGGCCGGGCGTGCAAACAAATGTCAACCGCTGGCTGGTGTCAGGACTTCAACCGAACGTCAACCGAGAAACGAATGTGTTTGGTGTTCGCGGTAATATTTCGATGTACTGCAAACAATGCTTTTGTCGAGCGTTTCAGCTTTTCTTACGCTAAGTTGTATGCTAAGCGTTCAACATTTTCGTGAACATGGCCAAATCAAACATTGCTATTCTGCATGAGAATGCTAGGACCGCTAACAATAGTGCTGCAGTATAGACCGATTCGATCTCTACGTGACTCCCAAGTCCCAACCAGCAATAGCGTTCGCAGGCCTTAGTTTGTCATTCGGTGGTAAGCACGGTCAGAACACGTGACCGCTGCGCGGCCGGCGGCCGACCGAGTGCCGCGGGCGATCGCGGTCAGTCGGCCCGCGAACAGCCCTCCCTCAGTCACATCCCTTGTAATTTCACCGTCACCTTTTCATCTCATCATCATTTTTAGCTTTTAGCCTTTTACCCTTTCTTCGCCAATAATTTACCGATTGGTGTATCAGCTACATTCGTAGGTACTTAAACTTTCCTCTTCACTATTCTGTATCGCATGAACTGATCCAGATCATTTCAGCATCACCCGACTTGTTATAACGGTCCGACTCCCTCTGGTTTGCTCCTCACTCGTCTGACCGCCAGTCGTCGATATTCGTCTCTGCGGCGGAAATGTTACGCCGTTCGTCTGGCGGTGGGACTGCTCGGTGGCACCCGGCTCGCGCAGTGGTGCACTGGGTGGTGCGAGCCGCCCTGCTGATGCTGCTGCTGACCCTGCTGTACCGTCAGCTGGTCGAGTTCCGAGCCGAGCCGGTCAGCACTTCCATCACCCGGCGACAGGCGCCCTTCCCGCGGATCACCCTCTGCCCCGGGACGTGGATGCGCGACAACCGGCTGCGGCTGGAGCGGCAGCGACAGCTGGCGGACGGCAACATCTCCATCAGCAGCTTCTACAACGACACGACGCTGGAGCTGCTGCACGGAGAGCTGTTCGTGCAGGGCGCCGACCCGGAGACCACCCACATCTCCGCCGACGTCACCGAGCACGGCGTGTGGCGCTCGCGCTTCTACCAGCAGCAGCACAGCGGCGGCGAGCTGGTCTGGGAGGTGCGCTGCTACACCCTGCAGCCGTCCGCCGCGCTGCACCGGATGGCCAGCAGTGAGGTGGAGCTGCAGCTCCGGCTGGCCGTGCCGCTGCTGTTCATCAACTCACAGCGCAGCATCGCCTACCGCATGTTCATCCACGGTGATGAGGAGCCCAACGTCATAGACTTGTTCCCTCGGCAGAGTGGCCTGACCGTGCCTCTTACTTCGTACGCTGAGCTCAAACCTGGCCAGGACGCCTTCTTCCGCGTGACAGTGGACGGGCGCCGGCTGGTCGACCTGCGCTGGCGACCCTGCCGGAGTGACGACGGCTACTCACCGGCACAGTGTCTGAAGGAGTGTCTGTGGCGGCGGCTGGCGGCGCACACCGGCTGCCGGCTGCCACACATGGTCGGGCCAGGCGTCTACCTTCCGCAGCTGTGTGGCCCGCTGGACCACCTGCCTGTCTGCGACAGGATCGTCAGGGGAGCCGGAAACAAGCGTCTGGTGAACAGCGTGTCGGACCGCTACCTTCTTGAGTGTCTGGAGGAGAGCTTCAGAAATACCCGGCCCAGTCCAAGTCTGGCCGAGGGGGCTGGCTTCGAGTCCGGCCTCAACACCAGCACGGCCGGGTCTGAGGCGGCTGACGAAGGCATTCAGCTGGTGCCTCGGAGCCTGCTGACCAACCTGAGCGGCTGCGAGTGTCAGCCGGCCTGCAGTGAGATCACATACAGGATCTCTGCCGACCCGCGTACTGAGCACATCGCGCAGCCGGCCTCCCAGTGCACCACCCAGGTCATCCTCAAGATAGACCTGACCATGGACCTGTTCGAGGAGTCGCTCTCTTTCACGGTCAGCACGCTGGCGGCCAACGCGGCCGGCTTCCTCGGACTCTTCACGGGCCTGTCACTCTTCTCAGTGGTCGACGTCGGCGAGGCACTGGCGTTCTCAGCGTTTGCCAGGTGCCGCAACGGCAACGAGTCAGCGCCAAGCGCCGACTCCGCCAGCGACAAACCTGGCGCTCGTGCTGCACTCGCTTGGGAGAAGGAAAATGGTCCAGCAACGTCCCCAGTTCAGTGTTTGGACGATCACAGCCAGCCTGAGCCGGTGGAAGGGGAAGCAGCGGCCTCGTCTTCTGC